ATCAGAGGAGCAGGAAGGCTGACGTTTCAGGCCTAGACCCGTCTTCAGAAAATTTCTGAAGACGGGTCTAGGCCCGAAACGTCAGCCTTCCTGCTCGGCCTGCTGTGTTCATCCAGCTCTACACCTTGTTATCTCAGATTCTCCAGCATCTGCAGTTCCTACTATCTCTGGTGTAATGAATGGAAGCAGCTCTCCAGCTTGCTGAAAACACATGTCAACAAACAGCCGAGGTCCCACCCACCAAACCTCAGTCCTGTATCTCAACTAGTTCCGAATCAATCAAGGGTCCCTTCCCGAAACGTCAACTTTCCTGCTCCTCTGATGCTGCCTGGCCTGCTGTGTTCATCCAGCTCCACACTGTGTTATCTCTGACTCCAGCATCTGCAGTTCTTGCTATCTCTGAGACTCCAAACGTTAACCAGCTTCTCTTGGCAGAGATGCTGCCGGACCCGCTGCATTTCTCCAGCACTCCTGCCTATCTGCATCTCAGACAATTGGTATGAAATGCGCGGAATGGTTTTTCTTAAACTGGAAAATACCCCTGTGTAAACTTTTGAAAGAGGCAACCTGCCCAAACTCCTTGTTACATGCACTCTTCCAAGCCCACTAAGACCAACTGCCGTGTCTGCACGCGCACTTCCCCTTCCTCCTTTCCAAGCCAACCGCCGCGCGGGACGTGCACGTGTACTTCCTCCATTCCGTCCGGGCCAACCGCCGCGCGTGTGCGTGCACGTCCCGCCCCCGCCCAACCGTCGCGTCTGGAGAGTGAGTGCACGCGCACAACTACCGGTGCAATGGCTGTCGGAAGAAGTGGATGTGGCATTGACGCGCTTCTATTCGACTTGGATAACACACTGATCGATACTGCCGGGGCCGGGAGGCAAGCGGGGCAGCAGGTATCCGGGGTCGGGGGTAGTTATTGGCGGTATGAGCTTCCTCATTCCCCCCCGCAAAAAGAATCATTCCGTCCTCGGTGGTGCATCACCCGGAGTTATTGTGGAAACTGCACTTTCTCGGTATAGGTCTCTTCCCCGTCCAAGCAGCAACAACCTCCACTGTTATTTTCTTCTGTCTCTCATGCACTTCTTGGTAAGACTATAAGGCGTAGGAGCAGAGTAGGCCATTTGGCCCATCGGGCCTGTTCCACCATTCAGTGAAATCGTGGCTGATCGCGTAACCCTCAACTCCACTTTCCCCATAACCTTTGAATCCCTTACTGGTTATAAAAATGTCTTTCTCAGCCTTGAATATATTTAAGTACCCAGCCTCTACAGCCCTCTGCAGTCAAGAATTTCACATATTGAATACCTTTTAAAAAAAACTCATCTGTCTTAAATAGGCAAATTTTGCTCTGAAATTTATACTGTCTGTTCCTAGACTAACCCACAAGGGCAATAGTTAGCCCATCAAGTCCCGCAAAGAATATTATCTGATTCAATAAGGTTACCTCTCATTCTTTTAAACTCCAATGAGTATAGGCCCAACCTTCTCAACTTCTCTTCACAAGACAGTCCCTGCATGCTAGCAATCAATCCAGCGAATCTTCTGTGAATTCCTCCAATGCCAGTACAGCTTTCTGTAGATGAGGGGACGAAATTTACTCTGTGTGGTCTAACTAGTGCCTTGCATAACATTAGCAACATTTCCTTATATTGTACATTCCCTTTGAAATAAAGGCCAAATGTTTGCTTTCTGTATTACCTGCTGAACATGCTAACTTTTTGTGATTTATGCACAAGGACCTTTATGCTGCAGATTTCTGCAGTCTTTTTATATTTTAATAATGTTCAGCTCCTTAATTCTTCCTGTCAAAATGCATAACCACACATTTTCCTATATTATATACTAGCTGCCAAGTTTTTGTCCACTCGCTTAACCTGTCTATTCCCTCTGTGTAACTCACTTATCTATATCCCACTGTATATTCTTATCCTTCCACATATTTGTGTCATCCGCAAACTTGGCAACAGTGCGTGCACTTCCCTCATTCAAGACATTAATACATATTCTCAATAATCATGGCCCCAATACTTATCCCTGTGGCACTTCACAAGTTACAGGGTGCCTGTTAGCTCAAATCTGCCTTTTATTAGTTAACCAATCCTCAATCAAAGCAGAAGTTACACTCCATCCAAGCCATTTTGCCCAACACTATGGGCTCTTATCAAGTAGCCTTTTGTATATTACCTTATTGAACACCTTTTGGAAATCTACGTAGATTACATGTACTGATACCCATTTATCTATCCTGCTTATTATCCCCTCAAAGAACTATAATAAAACTTCCCCTTCACGAAGCCATGCTGACTCTATTTGATTATATTATGTATTTCTAAGTACTGTGCTGGTACATCCTTTTATAATAGACTCAATATTTTCCTAATTACAGATGTTAAGCCAACTGGCCTATACTTTCCAGTTTTGTGTCTCTCGTTTGGAATAAGGGTGTTATATTGGCAGTTTTCTAATCCTTTGGGACTTTTCCAGAATCTAAGCGTTCTTGGAAAATCACTACCAGTGCATTCTCTCTCTCTGTAACTGCTTACTTTAAAATTCTAAGGATTTTTTTTAACAGGTCCAGGGGACTTAGTCATTAACGCCATTAGTTTCTCTGGTACTTATTGCTCTAGTGATAGAGATTGTTTTTATTTCCTCCCCCACGCTTTTGCCTGCTCAATATTTAGTATTTTTTGAATGTTGTAAAGTGTCTTCTGCCATGAAGACTGATGCAAAATATTTATTCAGTTCCTCTGCCATTTCCTGTTTCCCCATTATTATTTCCCATTCTCTTAGAGGCCCATGTTCACTTTGGCCACTTTCTTCCTTTTTAGTTTTAAAGAAGCTGTTGCTGTCTTTTTTTTATACTACTTGCTAGTTTGTGCTCAAAGCATATTTTCTCCCTTGTTATTTCATGTTGATCATTTCTTTAAAAAACAACGAAGCTTTCCCAAACATCTGTTTTACCATTAATCATTGCCACACTAAATCTCCCACCACCACCACCACCAATTGGAAACCATCCCTAACTTTGGTTTACCGTGGTGACTTTATCACCTTCCTACAAGGTTTCTTTCCCTCCTTGGAAAATATTTTTCTTGTGAAGCATGAACTATTTTCTTAAATGTTTGCCATTATTCAACCATCTTTTCTGCTACAGCCCTTCCCAATCCACTCATTCCTTTGCACCCTAATTTAGGCTGAGCACAGTTGTTTCCGACCCAAGATTTTTCCTCTTAAATTGAATGCTAAATTCTATCATGTTATGGTCATTGTTACCTCGGGGATCCTTTCATAGAGTCATACAGATGTACAGCACGGAAACAAGCCCTTCGGTCCAACTCGTCCATGCTGACCAGATATCCTAAATAAATCTAGTCCCATTAGCCAGCATTTGGTCCATTTCCCTCTGAATCCTTCCTATTTATATGTCCATCCAGATGCTTTTTAAATATTGTAATTGTACCAGCTTCCACCACTTCCTCTGGCAGCCCATTCCATACACATCCCACCCTCTGGGTGAACAAGTTGCCCCTTAGGTGCCTTTTAAATCTTTCCCCTCTCACCTTAAACCTATGCCCTGTATTTCCCCAGCCTGGGGAAAACACCTTGTCTATTTATCCTATCCATGCCTGTCATGATTTTATAAACCTCTATGAGGTCATCCCTCAGCCTTTGAAGCTCCAGGGAAAATAGCCCCTGCCTATTCAGCCTCTCCCTTTTGTTCAAACCCTCCAACCCTGGCATCATCCTTGTAAATCTTTTCTGAACCCTTTCAAGTTTCACAACACCCTTCCTGTAGCAGGGTGACCAGAACTGCACACAGTATTCCAAAGTGGCCTAACCAATGTTCTGCTACATGACTTCCCAACTCCTATACTCAATGCATTGTCTAAGCATACCAAATGCCTTCATCACTATTCTGTTTACCTGCAACTCCACTTTCAACGAACTATGAACCTGAACTTCAAGGTCTCTTTGTTCAGCAACACTTCCCGGGACCTTACCATCAGGTGTATAAGTCCTGCCCTGATTTGCCTTTCCAAAATGCAACACCTCACATTTATCTAAATTAAACTCCAAATGCACATTGGCCCATCTGATCAAGATCCTGTTATACTCGGAGGTAACCTTCTTTGCTGTCCAGTACACCTCCAATTTTGGTGTCATCTGCAAACCTACTAATCGTACCTCCGATGTTCTTTAATTTATTAAACCATCCTCATTACACATCCAAACCAGCCCGATCCCTGGTTGGATCCACAACGCATCGTTCTCAAAAACTGTTCAACTGCACTATGAATTCTTCACAGCTGCCTCTGTGAATTTGAGTTTCCCAATCTACAAGATGACTAAAGTCACCCATGATCATAGTAATGCCTCTTTTTAATGTCATTATTTCCTGATTTATTCTGTACCACAGTACAGTGATAGTTAAGGGGCCTATAGACTCCTTCTACCAGTGTCTTCTTGCCTTTGTCATTTCTTACCTCCACCCACATGCATTCTGCACCTTCCAATCCAAGACCTTTCCTGCAAGCATTTTGCAGAACATCTACATTCTGTCTGCAAAAATGACCCTGAGCTTCATGTTACCTGCCACTTCAACATACCACAGTCACCAACATCTCTGACCTGGGCTTTCTGCAGTGCACCAGCAAAGCTCAACACAAGCTGGAAGAACAGCATCTCTTTTTCTGCATGGGCGCCCTGCAGTCTCTAGGACTCAATATCGATAATTTTGGAGCCTAAGCACCACCTCCTATGTCCTTAACCCAACTTCCTCATATCAGGCCTTGTCATTCACATGGGTTGCTACCACAACTACCCCATGGTTATTTACAAATGGTCCCAATTAGCAGCTATTGAATCCCCCAGACTGACCGTTACTTAAAACTTTGTCTGTCCAACTGTTGTTCTGTCTCTTTCTCTCTCTGGGCTTCATCTCTACTTATTGTTTACTCTCCCCCTCCCTCCCTCCCTCCACCCTATCTTCAGGATTTATACCAACCTGTACACAGCTACAGTCAGCTCTGAAGAAGGGTCACTGAACCCAAAATGTTAATTCTGCTTTCTGTCCACAGATGCTGCCAGATCTGCTGAGTTTTCCCAGTAATTTCTGTTTTTGTTTCTTATTTCCAGTATCTGCAGTTCTTTGGGCTTTTTTTGTTTACCTCTTTCCCTTCCTCCACTTAACTTCCCCGAAGCACTCAACTCCTGCATTCAAGATACTTTCTAATCAAGAGTTGAGATGACATACCTCTGGAGCAGGTGGGACTGAGAGATAGGGACACTACCATTGTGCCACAGGAGTCCCATAACTCCAGCACTCCATTACAAGATGTATTAAGTTGGCTACTTATACATGCTCTGAAGGCAAAAGGCCTCTCTGAGTCACTTAATAAGGATCCAGTTTCACTTGGTTCTTAATTAAAATACCCCTCCACTGGAACCTTGGATAAAAGGGCTGTGTTTAGGGAAAAAAACAATACCTAAGTACAGAACTTAAATTGTAGCTTTCAGATACATACTAGCTACAAACTAAATTAGGTTAAATAAAAACCGGAAGAACTGCAGATGCTGTAAATCAGAAACAAAAAATAGAAATTGCTGGGAAAGCTCAGCAGGTCTGGCAGCATTTGGGTTGAGTGATCCTTTCTCAGTCCTGAGGAAGGGTTACTCAATCCGAAGCATTAACTCTGATTTCTCTCCACAGATGATGCCAGTCCAGCCAAGCTTTTCCAGCAATTTCTAAATTAGGTTTTTACAAAATAAATCTTTCTGGACTTTGACAATAATGCATGCATTCATGCCTGAGTCAAATTGAGTATCTTAGCTGAATTTATATCCTCCTAACACAAAGGCCTAACTGAGTCACTTAATGAGGATCCTGTTTCAGCGGGTTCTTAATTAAGTTGCTCTTTCACTGGAACCTTTTGAGGGGAAAAAATATCAAGCTTTCCTGAGGGTTTTTCTAGTTTTCTAATCAACTCATTCAGACATGTAATTATACAATACTGGAGTGCTGAGACCTGAACCTGGGTCTCCTGGCCAAGAGGCAAGGACCACAAGAGTCCACCACCAAAACTGCC